TCAAGTCCAATTGACACATTCTTTTTGAGAATTTCAAGAACCCATAAGTAAGAAAAAGTTCAAATAATCACAAAGAAACACATAGACGTCAAAGCATTAAATAACTTAACTAGCCTATATTTGAAAAATTAGAACCTAATTGGAAGGGAAAAGAAATATGAGGGGTCAAGGCATCTCAAACTTAACCGTTAATTACATGAATTTGGCCCATCGAAAGCATTTAAACAACTGCACAACTAGTGATTCATAAAATTAAGAGTAAATTGGAAAAGAAAAGAAAGATTGAGGGATCACTTTGATAGATTTCCAAAATTTTTGGGCCTTAGTGGCTTAAGGGGAGACTTGGGGGGCCAGAAGTACAAATTTTAGAACACATTTCATGCATGCTACGTAAAAAAAATTGAACCATCTTTACTTCTGCAAATTCCTGCTGCAAGCTCATATCAGAAAATGTACAAGCCGTGGGTATTTCATATCAAAAAATGACCAAAAACACTATAAACAGAGCCCAAACTTCATCCATTTCTCTATAACCATCATGGGCATGAATTTTATGCACACAAAGCCAGAATTCAAATCAAGTTTTCTGCCAAACAGAAATCGGCAACTAGGAAATTTTCTACAATAAATTCTGCTGCAAAAATGCAGCTCCAAGAAACTTTTGGTCAACAAGATTTTAATTCCAGCTCAAGTATGTTTAGACACAAACACTCAAAACCAATCCAAGCCCCATAACAACCATTTTATCATACCAACAAATTCATCAAACCAGAAATTCTTGACCAAACTAAAACATGAAATTTTGTTTGCAAGATTAAGATGGCAAATCTGGTATCAACAACACAAGAAGGAAAGGAAACTGCAGCAAGATTTTTATGTGCCAACTTAGGCGCAATGCAAACATGAGAGCAGGCCACAAGAATATCAAAGATTCCTCCTATTTTTCAGCATAAAACTTTTATATTTAAGCACCAGAAATTCGGACAACAGAGACAAGACACAGTTCTGCAATTCCAGCTACGGTTCTCTATGTTTTTCATCAAATGGGTCTTTTATCCAAACACAATCAACATCCCAACCCAACATCATACCGTAATCTTAAGCAAGTAAGGACAAAGTTCCACATCCAAACATACAAGCAACAAGAGGAAGAGAATCAGCCATTAGCGAAGCATTAGCACAAACAAACCCGAATCTTTTCCCATTTTCCTGAAATTTTGTGCATCAAATTCGGATGACATGAGTTTCCTTAGCTGGGTTTTGTCAAGATTCAAGTTCAAAGCATACAAAATCTAAACAACCCAACCCAGGAAATCAGCATATACTAATGTAAAGAGCAGCGAAAGAATTCACTATAAGCCAAACATTCAAAACAGCCCACGAAAGAAAATGCCGTAGCAATGATTTTCGATATTCTAATTCAAGTCTCGCACCATTTGGCCAGAAAGGATTGAGAACATCACCTTACTCCTGGACAAAGCGTGAGATAACCCAAGGAAATAACTCAAATGGAGCGGCTGGACTGCTGAAGTCACGTCAATGGCTCTGGGGCTGCGGTGATGGCAGTGGTGATGGAGTCTCGACTTCAATGGCTGCCGCGGCTTCCTTCCACAGCAATTTTCCTTCCCTTGTTGCTTTCTTTCAAAACCCTTCTCTCAGCCGTCTTTTACTCAGCTGTCATCACCAAAAAAAACTTCCCCTCAAAGATCGAAGCTTTCTTCAAATTTACTCCCAAAACCTAACCTTCACTCCAGAGTTTTAATCTCGCCACCCTTCTCCTCTCTGTTTTCTGTTTTCTTTTTCTCTTTCTGGTCTTTCCTTTCAGTTTACAGCCGTCAAACTCTCTCGTTTTTTTTTCCTCGGTTGTGTCTTTCTTTTTGCTGTTCTCCTCCGTTGTCCAGAACCCCCAGGCCCTCCACCGTAACTGCCCTCCTTTGGTTTTTTGTTTTTGCTCCCCCCGTTCACCCTTAGCTCTCTCTCTTTTTTGTTCTCCTTTCATTCACTCCCTCAAGCCCCTAGCCGCCGTTCCAGATTTCACTCCACACTCTCTGCCCGTCGATCCTCTCCCCCGATGAAGCTCCCTGGTTTTTTTGTTTTCTTTTGTTCTTCCTCCAGATTTTGCAGCCGTCGATCCTTACCCCCTTGGCGGCTGCTCCCTCCTTTTCTATTTATATGAAGCCACCCTCCTCTAACCTACAGTCCTTTCTTACCTATTTGCAGCCAAGGCACTCCAGTCCTTCCTTGCAAATCCTTCCCTGCAAGCTGCGTTTTTTACGCAGCTTGCATGCCGCTACTATATTTATTTATTTTTTCTTTTTTTTTTTTCTTTTTTTTTTTTTTTTTAACTTAACAACTAACCGATTTAATCAAACAAAATTGATAACAATAACGCTAATAATAATAATAACAAAAATAACTTAATTAACATTGGATTGAATAAACAAAAATAAAACTAGAAATAACAAAATGCCACTTTCAACCTTCCATTTTTCATTTTTTCCTTTTCCATTTTTCCATTTTTCATTGTTTTCCTTTTTTTTCCTTTTTTTTCAAAATAACTTAACAAAAATAAGTAAGATGCTAAAAGATTGATTTTAAAAGACATAAAACACATTTTTTTGGAACGCTTTTTCCTTTTTCCTTTTTTTTCATTTTCATTTTCATTTTTCTTTCAAGAAAGCATTGAATAAAAACAAAATGACTAAAACATATTTTTGAATGCTTTTCTTTTTCAACAAATTCTATGATAAAACTTAAAAATAAAAATAAAACTGGAAACTAAAAACTAAAAATGAACACGACTAAAAAAATGAAATTACACCAAAAATTTGGTGTCTACACCCAGCGCACCCATGGCCGCAACGGTTGCGCCGCCAGCCAACACTGCCGCAAACGATCTGCTCTGCGGCGGTCCTCCCTCCGGAGGAGATCCCGACGGCCCATTGGCCGCCATGCACCGTGGCAACCCTAGCTGATGAGGTCGGCTAGGGTTTTTCCTTTTCGTGCAAGAAACTTATTATCTTGCTTAAGCTAATGTACGCAATACACGCTTTTGCCAGTTTATTGACCATAACTGTAATTAATCCATACTTACTTTCATGGTTATGAATTTAACTATAATTTCATTAAATTCTATGGAAATTACAAACGATAAGTCACCAAAGTCACACATATGCACTTCTACTCTTGTGAGTGTACTCCACAAGTTTAGCAGTTCTTTAAACTGGTGTTAAATATCAATTCTCATTATAAACTTAACACCTTGAGATTATCACAACTAATTGTCAGTTAATCATGATTAGCTAAGTAAAAGTGCTAAATAACTGTTTAAAATAATAGTATCAAATAACCAAGTAAATATCATAAACAAGGCATAGAAAATTCATTCATAACTCTAGACATAAACTTTTGAAACACATAATAAACATAAAATCCAAGCTTGTATACTAATTAAATACAAAATTTAATACTAGAAAAAAAATAGTATGAGAGATATCACCCTTGTCACATGAATTTAAACTCTTCATCTTGACTCCTCAATCTTCATCCGGGTTTAGCTATACACAAGAGAGGATGAATCGAACTACTCTAAAACTATCCTACCTAACCTAAATTAAAGGACTAAAAAACTAACTAAGAACTACATTTTGTGTGGTATTTCTTCCACCTTCAAAAACTCTCTTGGTTCTTGAAACAATGGTGTTTATATAGAGAAAAAATGATCCAAAAGATGAATCTAGGGCATCAACGTTACCGTTAAAAAGTCTGCAAATTCATCCCTCAAAAGATGTGAAATAATAAAGCTAGAACTAAGTTGAGTATATTGCAGCCGAAATTTCTGACTAGAATCCCTCCTAGAATCCTACTGTGAGTACTTGGCCGAATTGAATCCAACGCAAGATCCGGCCAGGGATTCTGCTAGGGACTCTATTCCCCTGTTTTGTCAACTTTTGTTCAGTGTTTGCCTTGAATCCCTCCAACAATCCAATCCGGCCAAGGATTTTGCGAGGGATTCGATCCGAGCATTTCTTGTGCAATAAACTTGGATTCTTCATCTTTTCGTGAGCAACTTTGGCCTTCAAAATCTACCATTTTCACACACTTTTAAACTTCAAGGAGTACAACTCGAGTTCATCTCACGTTCAAGTTCATGCTCATTCTTCAAATCCTACAAAAAGATAAAAAAACATGTGCGAGTAAAAGGGATAAAATCTCATTTAAGTACTAGATTGCACTTAGAATCAATTCTAATAAAAATGGACCATTTTCTTCTTATAATATTGTAAAAGTAACTAAAAGTGACATAAAATATCATCCAAATATCACTCACAATAGTCAATTATCACCGGCCAACAACAGTGCCCCTAACATCCTTCATAACCTGCTCCACTGCCACTTCAGGAGGAAACACAAGCAGTTTGAGCAGAGTCAAACTTCTATAATATCAACGCTTACAAACAGTTGCAACACAAACCACCCTTCTCATTGACCATACAAAAGAATCCTGGGACCAATTCAAAATCAGTTGGCGCTCTATAGGCCAGGAAGTATTTCTGCGCAGCCTCCTAAACAACACCAGAAATTATGGAAAATAGAATACCAGATGCAATAAAGATTCTGGAGCGACGCAGCCCAATTGACAACTGGGATAAACTGCCATCTCCCAAGAGTAAACATCCTTTTATGTTGTCTAATACCCTTAACTCTGGCTTCTTAGTTATCCTAAGAATTCTATCTCACCACGAAGAAACAAAAAGATACCATTATGTAGAGTGTTTATTTATGTATAAATGCTTATTTTTAATAGATATATAAACCAGACGCTGTTATAGTTAAACAGGCATGTAAAGTGTTAATTAGCTGGTACACAAGTTAATTCAATTTACTGCACGTACATTGAGCACCCAGACACTTCTCAAAGTAATAAGACTAATAGAGCTCATTATCTCTGTTTGACAGAACATGAAGATTTACAAAAATTGGAAAATTTAGGGAAGGAAATGGTGAAAGCATGTGGGGGTCTTCCATTGGCCGTGATAGTACTCGGCGGAACGCTTGCCACCAAGCAGAACTTGAAGGAATGGGAAAGCGTGAACAACAACGTTAGAGCTTATCTTGGAAGAGGAAAAAGCATTATGGAAGAAGGAAATCTGCACAAGATATTAGCTTTAAGCTACAATGACTTGCCCTACAAGTTGAAGCCTTGCTTCCTTTACCTAAGCAGATATGAAGAAGACTATGACATAGATACGGAGGAATTGGACAAGCTATGGATGGCAGAGGGTCTAATATCAACAAAAGATCGGATTGGTGAAGAATCAATGATGGATGTAGCAGAAAGATGCTTGGGAGAATTAGTAACACGGTGCATGGTTCAAGGCAAAGCCCCTGCTGATGATGTGATGCTGTCCTACATTGGAAGATCATTCGCATCGTGCCGCCTTCATGACTTAATGAGAGACCTATGTTTGCTCAAGGCCAAAGAAGAGAATTTCTTGCTACCCGTAAGTTGTCATGATGATGGAATTCTCGATGAGCATGTAGATATTTCTTCTTTGGCTAGTAACGATCACACACAAGTTTACCGACTGGTCATCCGTTTTTCAGAAAAGAGTGTAAGGAAATTTGTCCCCCTAGTTGAGAAGAGAAATACTAGGTACCTAAGGTCAGTTGTCTTAATGGCGTCAGGTGTGCAACTAAAGGAAGGGCGTGTTGATAAGATAATGAAGTCTCAAATCAATCAGTTCAAAATGCTTAGAGTGTTGGCCGTTGAAGGGTTCGATCACTTGAGGCTCCCAAAAGCTATTGGGAAGCTGATCCACTTGCGTTACTTGAGTTTAAGAGGTTCAGTTTTCTTACGTTTACCATCATCCTTGGGCAATTTACGATACTTGCAAACACTTGATTTTCGAGATTGCCCTAGATGTAGAATACCGGATGTGCTGTGGAAGATGAGACAACTTAGGTACCTGTATCTTCCGGATGCATACGGGACGCATAAGCTGGGTAAGTTAAAGCTGAATTTGTTCTGCAAAAAGTTGCGACTCAAGGGATTAGACAAGCTTGAGATACTGGAAAACTTCTGTCCTCTTTCTTGTTCATCTCAAGATATATCCACGTTGAAGAACCTTCGAGTTCTATCAGCAGTGGTGGACATGGACTTTGACGAGCACTTCCCCACAGGAATACATAGATTGATGTCAAATTCAGACCACGCACGTAGCACATCCCTAAGCATTGTCTCTAGAAGAGATTCAGCAGCCACCGCAGCCTTAACCAAGGAGAACTTGTCAGATGTTGTTGGTCAATGTTTCTCTCGTCGCAATCTTCAAGTCTTAGAGGTAAAGGGTCCCATGGCCAATTTCCCCAAGTACGATGCCCAGTACATGTATGCAAGCCTTGTTGACATGACATTAACAGAAATCGAGATAGAGGAAGATCCCATGAAAACACTGGAAAGGCTTCCTAATCTACGGTCACTTCTCTTGGCATATGGATCTTTTCTCGGGAAAGAGATGAGGTGCAAGGCAACAGGTTTTGGCCAACTTAGATTTTTTCGTCTTTTTGGTCTAACGAACTTGGTGAAGTGGATTGTTGACGAAGGAGCCATGCCCAACCTTTCGGTCTTGACGATTAATTGTTGTCCAAAGCTGGAGATAGTTCCGAATGGATTGAGATTCATTAAAACCCTGAAAGAGTTGATAGTTGTGTCGATGCCCGAGCGATTCACAAACAGGATCCAAGCGGTAAATGGTGCAGATCAGGGACAGGATTTTGACAAAGTCTCCCACATACCCTCCATTATTGTCAACGGATGCCGGATATTTGACCCCTGACATTCTCCGTATTTTAATTATTTCATCAGTCCTCCGGTCCAATAGAGTGTCAAAATGGGTGATTTGGACAGGTTTGAGTTGGGTAAAATGAGTAATGGGTATAAGTGAGTCAACCCATTTATACCCATTTAATTAGATGGGTATAAATGGGTAAGTCAAAAAATGAATTGGGTAACCCAATTACCCATTTATAACCCATTTATTTTAACTTTTTGTAAACTCATTTAAATTCATTTTTGCAAACTAAGTTATCAATTTATACCGCTCTTTGAACCCATCATTAGTTTTAAATATTTACCTATAATACTCAATAAGCCTAATTACCAATTTTTTTTCCATTTATACTCTATGTCGGAAAATTACATATTATTTAATAGTTGAATAATAAGAATATAAAAATGTGAACTAAGTACTATTAAAGTTAATATAAAAACTTAATCCAAAAAATTTGAATCCCTAACATTTTTAAATTTAAATTTTCATTTTAGAAAGATAAGAAAAGAGGTTAAAACTTATCATAAATTGGTAATGCTGAAAAATGAGCAAGTTAATAAACTAAGAGAAAATAAAATAACAAGATAAAACCAACAAATAATAATAATAATGAAACAAAAATAGTTAACATCATGACAAAATGAAAAATTTGAAAAAAAAAGTGGGTGGGGGAAGAGAAGAGACTTGGGAGAAGAGAATTCTAAATGGGTTAATTAGATTTGATGGGTTACCCAATAATGCCTATTTAATAAATGGGTATTATTGGGTAACCCATTTATACCCATATATAAAAATTTAAGATACCTATACCCATTTATTCATGGACGGGTATGGATAAATTTAGTTAAGTGGATTGGTTTGCCATCTATACTGTCCACTGAGGGGATTATTATTAATCGGGTACCTCTCTCTTGTCCACAATTCTAGTTTCTTTTGGGAACTTTACTTCAATTTATGGTTGGAACCAATGACGGAGCTAGGGGGCTGATGGGGGCATGGCCCTAAGTTTTGAAAAATTTAGTTTATAGTGTGTAAATATATGTATAAAATAGAATTGGCCCCTCCTAATTTTTTACAATTTTAGTTTATATTATGAGAGTTCATATATATATATATATATATATATATATTAGCCACCTTTGAATTAATTTTTTTCTTAAAAAGTTTATTTATTTATTTTTACATGCATTTATAATTAAAGTTAATATTTGATATTTTTAAATGTCATACATTTAAATGAATGAAAATTATTTTGAACACAGCATATTAAGAAAATTTTATTAGAAAATTTTTGACCCCCTGAAAAAAAAAATTTGGCTCCGTCACTGGTTGGAGCCAAAATCATGACTTTGCTTTTCGTCATCATATATATATATATATATATATAATCCATTATTATTGCCCTTTCTTCAACTAAACCAAGTTTATAAAGTCACAAGTTGCACGGGCAAGTGCCTCTCAGAATAATTTCTTTTTGTTTATTAGCATCTCCACCTTAAGATATACACTCAGTCATTTGTTCTTTATTTGATTCATTAAGCCTTACATGATACTAGAATATGGTCCTAATTGATTTCACTTCTTGTTATTAGGATCAACTTGACGGGCAAGCGTAATATCCTGCTCAAATATGACTCAAACTTTTTCTATGCAGTACAACTTTGTCAAGCCTCCTGTTGAAGTGCCTAAATTTGTATTTAATTATGTGAGTCTTATGTCAGTATGATTTTCACTCAGCCTATGTTTTGCAGCTTTCTTAATGTAATTTGTCGAATAAGAGTGAGTTTGTACTATAATTCAATATTGATTGTATTTTTAATTGATGAATTTTTTGAAAAAAAAAAACTTTTTTTCCTCAATAATGACTTCACAATTGATGTCTTTTCATAGACTATAGATCTCTTGTTACACTTAAAAGTGTAGCACTCATGTTACACACCTACATGTGGTAACACTTGTCCTCTTCAAATGCTGGTAATAACTAATATAGTTGGTTTTAACTCCTCCGAACTCCCAAAACAATCAACTCAAGTTAAATGCATTACTAGTGGACATATTTCAGCCGATTAAAAAAAAAAATCGACTCTTTCGGCTCCTCTCCCTCTTTCATGAGGTTGCTTCTCCCTCCTTCTAAAATCCTTCTCATAAAAAAACTTGAAAAAAAAAAGCTTCATCTTAGTGTGATGGCTAGAAATTAAAATTGAAAAGAAATTTTGTGCTATTGGTCTCCTCCTCCTCCTTTCTTCTTTTGTCCATGCAATGCTTGTCCTTTTGGTTTTCTATTTTTTGTTTAAATTTAAGGTAACTGATGCTGATCTAGGTGATATTCGATTTCTTGGCAGGAGATGGATTTTTTATAAGAAGGATTAAGGATTTGGGAGAAGATGGAGGAGAGACATGTTCACCATTTCTCATCATGACTTTACAACCGCCGAGAATGAACCATTAAAGGTAATAATGAAGCAAGTCACTAAAAGAATATTAATCTGCCAACAGCATCTCTTGCTAAAAGTGAATGATTACAAGTCCATAAAAGATTCTGTTACCTACCAAAAACAGCTTTCACATACAATTTATTGTCAATCATCAGTATCATTTGATAATAAGTTTCAACAGTATCAATACAAGATCAAACGCATTTATGTTTCTTCCATATTTGCGTATCAATAAAAAACAAACAGAACTAAGCATATGCCAGGAAGCAAAACAGAACAGACAGATGGAAAGGATGGCCTTTATTTGCCAATCCCTTTTCCATACAAATCTAGTTTGGTTATATCTACAATTTTATCCGTGTGAGTCAATGCTTGGTTTCTATTATACAGCAGGTACCATTTCTACTTACATTCCTAAACTTGAAATATTCTTCTTCAGAACTCACAAGAAGTTCCTAACCTTTGCTTTGACAAGCACATGCACTTTCTTGCCTCCAAAAACTCCGGCAAAAGCTTCTGAAAATTCTCCAAGAATAACTCCCATTCTTCATTACTCATCTCTCCAAAAGAAATTCCTCCATTATCATTGCTGTGATTGAGTCCTGCAAAACTCATGCTCCTCATGAATACCCCGCCTAACTTGTGTTCAGAAGCAGCGTAACCATTTTCTGTTCCACTCTCTTCCACGATGTTGTGGTAATCATTATCATTGTCATCGTTTTGGTGGCTGTCTTCCTCTTTTGAAAGGAGCAATTCTGAGTCACTTAATTTGGTTACTAACCTTTCAGACAAAAACCTTAGTATTTTTGCTGGCTTACCTGGCTTAGGGGAGCTTTCTAACGATTCAGGAAAATCTGAGGAGCCATCTTTTTTATCATCGAATTGGAAAACTTCATTGTCTTCTTCAACCTGATCACCATTATCAGAGGTTATTCTTCCACACAGGCTACTCTTCGCATCCATACAGAGATTCTCAAATGCACTCCAATTTTCTTCCCCTCCATTAAACTCTCGAGTCATCATTTCACCAATATCAGCAAGGCACATTCCAGAATCAGCAGCCTGCTTCAAGAATATGGTACACAGCACAAGAATCTGAATGGATGACTCCCTAATTGATGGAATCGTGGTTTTCAGAAGTTCTGCATCTTTGAATGGATCAAGGCTGGATATATACTCTATTTCAGATTCTGAAAATGGTACTAAGGCCTGTGGCCAATGCAACCATTCAAAATATGGATCATCAAGTAATTCAGGTAAACAGAATCCATGATCTATGGGCACAAGCTCAGCTACTCCACCAGAATAAGCCTCTTGCCCTTTCCTCACCAAAATGTTCCCAGCATGCCTATCAAGATTAAGCAGTCTTATATCCAATATTCCTATATGATGAACAGAGCTGACAGAGAAGCCAGAAGGGCCTAAATCCCCTGCATCAGAATCATGATCCACAAACCGCTGAATTGAGGCAATCTTATAAGGTGGAGTTAAGATCGAATCTGGACCATTTACGTTAAACTTGACTTGAGACATCTTAACTAGTGCGGTTGGAGGGACACCAGCAAAGCCACCATGATCAAGAAGATAAGCAGCCAATTCACGGATGCCTGTTTCACCTACCCTGATGGAGCGCTTCATGCCAGGTTGGCCTAACATCCGACCTGCAAAGCCTTTAGGATTATTCAAGGCTAAAGGTTCCTCATCCACAGGTTTTGCAACAGCTATAGTATCACCATTTCTAGACCTAATAAAGTAGGCACCCCCAAGTCCAGTTGACACCGGCTCGGGATTAACACCAGAGGCCATAGCTATCGCGACCTCCACTACTAGAGCACGTACCCTGGGAGCTCCATTTCCTGCAATAATTTCAATCCTTGAATTTGAATCAAACTCTTCCTCCACCATAGTGGAAATAGACAGGCATGGGGTGGAGAAGCTTTTGTGGATGGAGTTGAAGTCAAAGGCATCCTTGATTGATTTCACGAGACTTGTATTCTTAGATTCCAACATAGCGTAGTCAATTTGAGGGTAAGATGGGAGTTTACATCTTGGAGGTCGGCGAAATGGCTTGAAGACATGGTTTTGATCAACTGCAACAGCCATATTGAGCAATTCCTTGCAATTCAGAACAACTATAATACATGCTAACGACAGCTTCCTAAAAGGATCCCTAGAGGGTTAATCTGACTGGGAGATTAGCCATCACATTTCTGCAATTAAGATAAAACAATCAATTCAAGGTAATGATTCCATTATCACAACAGATTTATTAGTATAAAAAATATCAGAATAGGATCAGTAGTTTCTTTCAACTAATATCAGAACTCATATGGTAAATGTTCACTGTGCTATAGACATTAATCATGAACCTGCTTTCCACCCTCAGAAAATAGGAATCCAAAAGCCACATGCATTCTATGTGCAATTTCTTAATTTTACAGAGTTTTCAAGCAGCAATAAATAATCTAGTCTTTTCAATTTTTCCAGCCATGATTCTCTATGTTTGATTTACAAGTCCCTAATGCAAGATCTTTTTTGTAATCGACCAAGTTCACGACTGGATTTTCACAA